GCTTACTTGTTTTTGTTTTCTTCACTTAAGGTTGGTGCCCTACTGTATAAGCCATGTCTCCACAACCAACTTTTTTCTTTTTTACTGGATGGAGATAAGTCTCAAGCTTTCTTCTGCCTGCCAGGGCTGGCTTTGAAGGTCAGTCCTCAGATTCAGTTTCCAGAGAAGGGGTGGGGAGGGGATTACAGGGGTGAGCTGCTGGTTGGTGTCTAGCAACACCCACTTCCTCCTTTCTCTCTAGGGAAAGAGAGCTGGGAGCTGAGCCTGGGGGTGAATTCCAGGGACTTCCGCCCCCCCCCTGGTACCTCTGCCCCCCCAACTCCCTGGCCCCCCAACATTGCTGCTGTGTGGCTCTCAGGGAATGTTGGGAGTTTTGAAGCTCTGAGCTCTTTCTGGGCTCCAGTCCAACCAGTCACAGAAAGCTCAGCATAGAAAGGAGAAAAATGTCCTGACAGCACAGTTCCGCTCCAAAGGTCACCTCCTCTCTCAGCAGCCAGCGAGAAACCCAGCCAGAGGCCTCCTGTCCCCTGGGGGTGTGAGACAGATCACTCTCCTCTGCTCTCTGCCTCCGCTGTGATGTGGTGGGAAGGGGATGTTTGAACAAGTTTCCACACGTGAAAAAAAAAATCCTCAGGAAATGCCACAAAGAGTCACTTCAGGAAGTTGAAGTCAGTGGGGCACCAGTGGTCACGCCTGGCTACTTAGGAGGCTGAGACCTGAGAATCGAGGTTCAAAGCCAGCTGGGCAGAAAAGTTTGGGTGAGTCCATTTCCAATGAGTCCTCAAATGCCAGCTTGAGGTTAAGCAGTAGAGCACATAGGCTGGTGAGCCGGAAAATGGGCCGAGTGTGAGGCCCCAAGTTCAAACCCAGGTACTGACACCCCCTCCCCCCCCCACATACACATCACCAATAATGAAAAAATTCTTCTCGCTGGGGCTTTGGTGTCTCAGGCCTGTAATCCCAGCTGCCCAGGAGGTTAAGATCTGAGGATCAGGGTCCAAAGCCAGCCCGGGCAGGAGAGTCCATAAGACTCTCAGGGCAGCGCCCAAGCCCCAGGTTCAAGATTCACAGCCGTCATCATCATCATCATCAATCTTATCACTGGGAAACATCATCATCATCATCATCATCATCAATCTTATCACTGGGAAACAGCTCCAAAGCCCCGAGGCCTCCGAGCTCCGGCCGCCCGGCCGCCTGGCGTCGGTGCAGGCCTGCGGAGAGCGGGGCAGCACGCCAGGGCCTCCGCCGCGCGCCCCGAGTCACCCACACACACCCCAAAATTACATCGCTGGGCGCCGGGGCGGTCGGCGGCCGGACGGAACTTTAGACGAGGCGGAGTTCGAATCCTGCTCCACCGCGCACACCTTGAAGGACGCCGCACAGCGCGCGCACAGCCGCTCCAGAGTCTCACCGCTCCCGCCACGCCCCCGGCGGCCCCCGCGCGTGCGCACGGAGACACCGACGCGCGGCTTCCGGTTGCTCCCGGCGCACCTCGGGGCGGGGCTTGCGCGATGATGTCACGGGGCGGGGCTTCTGCCGGCGGGAAGAGGAGGCGCGGGAATGGAGGCTCCGAGC